GACCTTCACCATCGACTCCCACTGACTACTGTTGTTGTGTCCTTGGGCAAGACACTTAACCTCTGGTAACACCAGCCACAGTGGGGCGGCTGCGGCTGTAAAGTGCCAAAGTGCTGTTGTGTCCTTAGGCAAGACACTTCACCCTAGAATGAGTCTGGTGTGTGTGTGAATGGATGGTGGTGGTGGTCGGAGGGGCCGATGGCACAGACTGGTTGCCTCGCTTCTGTCAGTGTGCCCCAGGTCAGCTGTGGCTACAGTAGTAGTTTATCACCACTCTGTGCTGTATAAAACCAATGCATTATTATTTGGGTTAATTTTTGACTTAATGTCTCTGTGGTTTTAGTTTAGTTTTACTTCCTGTTCCGCTGTGTTGATGTCTGCCTCACCCTCATGTGTTTCACTTGTGTCTCTGTGCGTCTCTGTGTGTGTCTCTGTGTGTCTCTCTCTGTGTCTCTCTCTGTGTCTCTGTGTGTCTCTCTGTGTCTCTCTCTGTGTCTCTCTCTGTGTCTCTCTCTGTGTCTCTGTGTGTCTCTCTCTGTGTCTCTCTCTGTGTCTCTGTGTGTCTCTCTGTGTCTCTCTCTGTGTCTCTCTCTGTGTCTCTCTCTGTGTCTCTGTGTGTCTCTCTCTGTGTCTCTCTCTGTGTCTCTGTGTGTCTCTCTGTGTCTCTCTCTGTGTCTCTCTCTGTGTCTCTCTCTGTGTCTCTCTCTGTGTCTCTGTGTCTCCCTCTGTGTCTCTCTGTGTCTCTCTCTGTGTCTCTCTCTGTGTCTCTGTGTGTCTCTCTGTCTCTCTCTCTCTGTGTCTCCCTCTGTGTCTCCCTCTGTGTCTCTCTGTGTCTCCCTCTGTGTCTCCCTCTGTGTCTCTCTGTGTCTCCCTCTGTGTCTCTCTCTGTGTCTCTCTGTGTCTCTCTCTGTGTCTCTGTGTGTCTCTCTCTCTGTGTCTCTCTCTGTCCCTCTGTGTCTCTGTCTCTCTCTCTCTGTCTCTGTGTCCCTCTCTGTGTCTCTCTCTCTGTCTCTCTCTCTGTCTCTGTGTCCCTCTCTGTGTCTCTCTCTCTGTCTCTCTCTGTGTGTCTCTCTCTCTCTCTCTGTGTCTCTCTCTCTCTGTGTCTATGTGTCTCTCTCTGTCTCTTCCTGTCTCTCTCTCTCTGTGTCTCTCTGTCTCTCTCTCTGTCTCTGTGTGTCCCTCTCTGTGTCTCTGTGTCTCTCTCTGTCTCTCTGTGTGTCTCTCTGTCTCTCTCTCTGTGTCTCTCTCTGTCTCTCTCTCTGTGTCTCTCTCTGTCTCTCTCTCTGTGTCTCTCTCTGTCTCTCTCTGTCTCTCTCTCTGTGTCTCTGTGTCTCTCTCTGTCTCTCTGTGTCTCTCTCTGTGTCTCTCTCTGTCTGTCTCTCTCTGTCTCTCTGTGTCTCTCTCTGTCTCACTCTCTGTGTCTCTCTCTGTGTCTCTCTCTGTGTCTCTCTCTGTCTCTCTCTCTGTGTCTCTCTGTCTCTCTCTCTGTGTCTCTCTCTGTCTCTCTGTGTCTCTCTCTGTGTCTCTCTCTGTCTCTCCCTCTGTGTCTCTGTGTCTCTCTCTGTCTCTCTCTCTGTGTCTCTCTCTGTCTCTCTGTGTCTCTCTCTGTCTATCTGTGTCTCTCGCTGTGTCTCTCTCTGTCTCTCTCTCTGTGTCTCTCTGTGTCTCTCTCTGTCTCTCTGTGTCTCTCTCTGTCTATCTGTGTCTCTCGCTGTGTCTCTCTCTGTCTCTCTCTCTGTGTCTCTCTGTGTCTCTCTCTGTCTCTCTGTGTCTCTCTCTGTGTCTCTCTGTCTCTCTCTCTGTGTCTCTCTGTCTCTCTGTGTGTCTCTCTCTCTCTCTGTGTCTCTGTCTCTCTCTGTCTCTCTGTGTCTCTCTCTGTGTCTCTCTCTGTCTCTCTCTCTGTGTCTCTCTGTCTCTCTCTCTGTGTCTCTCTGTCTCTCTCTCTGTGTCTCTCTGTCTCTCTCTCTGTGTCTCTCTCTGTGTCTCTCTGTCTCTCTCTCTGTGTCTCTCTGTCTCTCTCTCTGTGTCTCTCTCTGTCTCTCTCTGTGTGTCTCTCTCTGTGTCTCTCTCTGTCTCCCTCTCTGTGTCTCTCTCTGTGTCTCTCTCTGTCTCTCTCTGTCTCTCTCTGTGTGTCTCTCTCTGTGTCTCTCTCTGTCTCTCTCTGTCTCTCTCTGTGTCTCTCTGTGTCTCTCTCTGTCTCTCTCTCTGTGTCTCTCTCTGTGTCTCTCTCTGTCTCACTCTCTGTGTCTCTCTCTGTGTCTCTCTCTGTCTCTCTCTGTCTCTCTCTGTGTGTCTCTCTCTGTGTCTCTCTCTGTCTCTCTCTGTCTCTCTCTGTGTCTCTCTGTGTCTCTCTCTGTCTCTCTCTCTGTGTCTCTCTCTGTGTCTCTCTCTGTCTCCCTCTCTGTGTCTCTCTCTGTGTCTCTCTCTGTCTCTCTCTGTCTCTCTCTGTGTGTCTCTCTCTGTGTCTCTCTCTGTGTCTCTCTGTCTCTCTCTGTGTCTCTCTCTGTCTCTCTGTGTGTCTACATGTACCTGTGCTCCTCTCCCCTTGTTGCTGGTCCATTGTCAGTATCTTTGCCTGTTCCTGGTTTGTTTGGATTTTGAGTTTGTTCTTTCATCTTGGACTTTATTATTTTTGCATTTTGGCTCCTCCTTCATCTCACCACACCTTGACATTTGTTTTTGGACCAGTCTAGTTTAGTTGCCGTGGACTTCAGAATGCACTCGTTAAAAAAATGCGTTTTTTCACATTTTCCTGAACCGGGGACATTTTGAAAAATCCCACTGAAGGCAAAAGTGGTGGCACACGACGAATGGCTGAGATAGGCGCGTCTACATCTTTACTATTTACAGTCTATGGGTGACTCCCTGTGTGCCTCAGAGACTGATGATTTCGCAAAACTTATTCTCATCTTGTACTTTTTGCTTTCTTTAAACCACATTATCTGTTTCCATGGATCATTGAGAGAACTCCCTCCTCTCCTCATCCTTCTCCCACAGCTCTGTGCTCTGTCCTGAGCTCACAGTGAGGCCTGGGGTCTGCTGCAGCGTCCTGGGACCAGACTGTGACCCTGTGTTTACACAGCGATGTGGGGCTGACCTCCTGTTACAGCAGAGAGGGAGTGGGGCCCTCGGGTCAGCACCGAGCCGTTAGTCAGGTGCCCCTCTGACCCGGCTGCATATGCTGCGCGGGGTCCAGGCGGGTGCAGTGGTTATGGGACAAACGCACCCCTTCACAAAGAGCCAGTGTTTGTTGGAGAGGTCTGCACTGTAAAAAGGACTTCCATTCAGTCTTCTGTAATTCAATTCAATTCAATTTACTTTTGTATATCTCTAAATCATAACTGCAGATATGTCAGAGGACTTTACAAAGCTGTCGATTCACAAACACAGATCAGAGAATCACACACAGGAAACGCAACGATAACACAATGACACATAAAGCCGTTTACAACCTGTTCTCATAGGCAGAGAGAGCTACTGTCGAAAGCTCCAACCCAATCCTCAAAGTTCACGGGAAGATGGCTCCGTCAAACAAAGTGTCTTGCCCAGGGACACAACAACAGTAGAGTCCAGTTTTGAGAGAATAGCTGCAGTCTGTTGTGCTCTTGCTCATGTTGGAACTAAACCCTGCATCCACACCGGCCCTCTCTGGAACCGGTTTGACACCAGTGCATTGGAGTCTCCCTGCAAGAATAAAAAGATTTATAGTGAAAATAGACGTACACTGTAAACCCTGACAAGTAAAGTTTACTTGAAAAAACCTTGGAAATAAATTGCACATTAACTTCTTCGAGTACATCCTTAACTTGATGTTGCCAAGTGAACGCAATAAAGTTTGACAGTGATTTCAACCTGGACATATATCTGCTTGAACTGGGATTTGAGCTTGAATTCTGTGCATTAAAGAGCAACGGTGCAACCCACTCAGCCAACATGCCTCACTATTAATTACACACTTACCATATTCAACACTATAATATCAAAAGTGCAGCTTACTTGAACAAAGGCAGCTCAATTCTAAGAAGGCCCTGAGTGATACAGCCAAGCTTTACATAAACCAACAATAAACAATTCATATTTATTACTGGGAAAAATCTATTTAAAATAACTTTGATATCTGAAGTAAGATTGAAGTTAGTGTTATGACTCAAAAGCGAATCATTCAGAATTGTGAGATCCTTTGGGGAGCTACCTGAAAGATGAGGGTGAGCTAGTGGTTGGAGACCCCTGACATTGGTCCACACGGGGCAAGACCAAAGTCTTTGTTTATAAATGTTGAATGTGGATCAGCAAGAAACAACCCAAACCCCACTGATAAAAACATGCTCACCACAAATGGAGAGTAACTGCATTTGTGTGTCATTGTCCAGATCACATACAGCACAGAGCAAAAGTTTGGACACCCTTCCTCCTTCACTGAGTTCTTTTCATGACTATTGGCTGTAGATCCACACCAGGCTGTGTAAGGGCTTTTTGTGCGAGTCCAGGTGGTTTTGGACCTGAACCCAGTCCAGATGGTTTTGGACCTGAACCCAGTCCAGGTGGTTTTGGGGCTGGACCACAGAGTGAAGGGGCCAACAAGTGCTAAGCATCATGGGAACTCCTTCAAGACTGTTAAAGACTATTTCAGGTCCTGTTGAAGCTCATCCAGAGAATGCCAAGAGTGAAGCAGTATCAGAGCAAAAGGAGCTACTTTGAAGAACCAGAATATAACACATATTTACACTTGGTTCATACTTTTTTAGTACGAACATCATTCACATGAGTTCATTCATGGGTTTGAGGCCTTCAGGGTCAATCTACAGTTTTCATAATCATGAAAATAAAACTCTTTGAATGAGAAGGTGTGTCCAAACTTTTGGTCTGTACTGTATGTGTGTTAGTCCTTTAGGTTCAGGCTAGGGCCACTTTACCGGAGCACCAGGAGGAAACCTACGCCGACACAAGGAGTAAGATGCACAGAAAAGCCAAGGAGGTCTGGAGGGCCCACAGTACTATGTATGCAGGGCCCACAGTACCGGTATGCAGGGCCCACAGTACCGGTATGCAGGGCCCACAGTACCGGTATGCAGGGCCCACAGTACCTGTATGCAGGGCCCACAGTACCTGTATGCAGGGCCCACAGTACCGGTATGCAGGGCCCACAGTACCTGTATGCAGGGCCCACAGTACCGGTATGCAGGGCCCACAGTACCGGTATGCAGGGCCCACAGTACCGGTATGCAGGGCCCACAGTACCGGTATGCAGGGCCCACAGTACCTGTATGCAGGGCCCACAGTACCGGTATGCAGGGCCCACAGTACCGGTATGCAGGGCCCACAGTACCGGTATGCAGGGCCCACAGTACCGGTATGCAGGGCCCACAGTACCGGTATGCAGGGCCCACAGTACCGGTATGCAGGGCCCACAGTACCGGTATGCAGGGCCCACAGTACCTGTAGCAGGGCCCACAGTACCGGTATGCAGGGCCCACAGTACCGGTATGCAGGGCCCACAGTACCGGTATGCAGGGCCCACAGTACCGGTATGCAGGGCCCACAGTACCGGTATGCAGGGCCCACAGTACCGGTATGCAGGGCCCACAGTACCGGTATGCAGGGCCCACAGTACCGGCCTGCTCCTCTCTCTCTCAAGTGTACAAGCACACTTGTAGCGTGTTTCTAACGTGTCCTTTTTACAGTGCACAGACGGCGCTCCATACCATCGCATCAGTGTGTGTGTGTGTGGGGGGGGGAGTCGGGGGGAGACGAGGGTTGGAGGAAGAGGGGTGAGCGGAGAGGGCGCAGGGGCCACGGGGACCACGACCTCAGGCTATCGACCCAAAGATGGATGGCTGGTAATTACTGGTAAATGGAGCGCCTCTGCACCAGCACAGTAACCGGACTGTGGCGAGGACCAGCGAGGACTGTACCATCAACTCGTCTGAGACACGCAGAATAGTAAGTGCTCTGTGATTGTATTGTTTATTGTGCTCAGGAAACGGTCCGATCATGTTGACAGTTGACGCTGCTCACTTCCTGAGAGACTGGACGGAGCTAAAAACTACTCCAAGTGTGTTTTTAGAGACAAAAACATGAGCAAGAGCCAAAAAGTATGAATACATCGATTGATTGGATTTGATGATTTTCATAAAAGAGAATTCAGTTTATCCACTTCACACAGTAGCAGCAAACATTCAGAAAAGCTGAGAGGTCCCGCAGGTCTTTCCTTCCTGCTGCTGTCAGACTGTACAATGAGAACTGCAGAGCCTGTACATGTCATTCATCTGTAAATAAGTAAATACTGCAATCATGTGTTAATATATATATATATATATTTTGAAGCACTGTTATTTATGCATTTACAGCTAGCGAAGGCCTAGAGAGACAACTAGTTTCAAGGCGGCTTTTGGCGACTGAGAGCAGATGATGGAGATGATCAGTTGAAATCGGTCTTACAACTGGAGAAAAACAGTCGATCTCCGGATTCAGTCAGTTGCCCGTGTTCTACTTTTCGGCAACTAGTCGTCCTCAGATCCGGAGATATCACTCGATGTGCTCCAACAACGTGTGTGTATTGTGTGTATTGCGCCCTCTACAGTTTATATAAGAAAACACAGTGTAGTTGAGGCCAGTTGCTGTTATTCCCCAGACTGACCTGATACAGGAGTTACCTGTTTTCTCCAGATTGTCGACGTGTGCGGGGCAGCCACTCATATGCCACGGATATAATCAGTTGCCGGTCCAATGTACGCTAGGCAAACAAAACCTAGCATCTACTTATTTTTGTACGTTTTACATTTTTGTGTGCGCCCTGTGTCTGTGTCTCTTAACACTGTCCTGGTTACGTATCTGCCATGTTATTCTAATACTAACACCATAATAAAACCAGAGAAAGGTGAAGGCTCCACACGGGTCTGACTGTGATTCTTCTGCTTTGTTTTTTACTGTTTTTTACTGTTTTATGTGGCGCGTGTCTGTGGTCCGGCCGGAGGAGGCTGTCAGGTCAGAGCCGGGGTTAAGCAGGTGTGCAGAGAGTGTGTGTGTGTGTGTGTGTGTGTGTGTGTGTGTCTGGGCTGGCAGCTCTGAGTGAAAGGCTAACACACACATTCACACTTGCCAGGGCTCTTCACGGTGTTCTCCGGAGCAGCAGACAGAAGCCCGGCTGTTTACCTGCTGTGGACGTGTGTGTGCGTGTGTGCGTGTGCGTGTGCGTGTGTGTGTGCGTGTCCGTGTGTGTGTGTGTGTGTGTCAACTGCAAAAACATATCAGAGTTGTTTTTATTTTGATACGTTTTACCCTTATTTAGGAGTCCAGGACAAGAGGCAAAAATTCTGTCCTGAGATTAGATTAGATTAGATTAGATTAGATTAGATTAGATTACACACGATTACAGATTATAAAAACAGTTACACATCAACGAGGACGTCTCTCAGTCTGGATTTAAAACCATTCCAAGACATGAGTCCAGTTCATTTCCAGTCTTTTTGCTTCAGGTTCCATGTTCAAGGAGCAGCGAAAGACCCAAACCGTAAAAACCAACCTCTGTCTGTCTGTGTCGGAGAGCTACTCTTATACAACAGAAGAGGCAGAGAGCTACTCTTATACAACAGAAGAGGCAGAGAGCTACTCTTATACAACAGAAGAGGCAGAGAGCTACTCTTATACAACAGAAGAGGCAGAGAGCTACTCTTATACAACAGAAGAGGCAGAGAGCTACTCTTATACAACAGAAGAGGCAGAGAGCTACTCTTATACAACAGAAGAGGAAGAGAGCTACTCTTATACAACAGAAGAGGCAGAGAGCTACTCTTATACAACAGAAGAGGCAGAGAGCTACTCTTATACAACAGAAGAGGCAGAGAGCTACTCTTATACAACAGAAGAGGCAGAGAGCTACTCTTATACAACAGAAGAGGCAGAGAGCTACTCTTATACAACAGAAGAGGCAGAGAGCTACTCTTATACAACAGAAGAGGCAGAGAGCTACTCTTATACAACAGAAGAGGAAGAGAGCTACTCTTATACAACAGAAGAGGCAGAGAGCTACTCTTATACAACAGAAGAGGCAGAGAGCTACTCTTATACAACAGAAGAGGCAGAGAGCTACTCTTATACAACAGAAGAGGCAGAGAGCTACTCTTATACAACAGAAGAGGCAGAGAGCTACTCTTATACTACAGAAGAGGCAGAGAGCTCCTTTTTGCAGTCGTAATAAAAAGCTTTCTAATACTTACGTAAAAAAATGGAGAACGCATATAAAATATACCATAATACTGTATAACCCTATATTTACAGTTATAATTATAAATGTAATGGCTCCAAATGTATTCATACAAGATCATGTGTTAAATTGTAATTCCTTTGGGGAGCTACCGGAGAGGAGCTGGCGAGCTACAGTTGGAGACCCCGGATTTCAACAGAGATTATCCCGATTATTATTATACGGCTCGTCACAGCAGCAGGAGAACCATTGATCTGAATGTCATTTCAAAACGTTCTACGGTCATTATTTTCTATAACGGACCTCTCAAAACAATAATGACCGCTGCCCTTTGGCAACGCACTCTCTGCTTGTCTTTCAAATGCGTGGATAACTCTGCAAGTAGTTCCGGCCACTCCGGAGCTAGCCACGCTCAATCAACACACTTAAATGTTAATCGGAGAATACTTATACATATACATTCTTCACACACGTGCACGGAAATTTTCAGAATTTTCTGGTCTTGTCTTCATGACAAAAATATTATTTCTCTGCGTCAAAAAGCGATCGTGAAAAACCCGGAAGTAGTTCTGGCCGCTCAATAAACGCAGATGCCAATCAATCAACGCAATGAAATGTTTATCGGAGAGTGAATTATACATATTCAGTCTTAATACAAGTGCACGGAAGTTTTCAGAATTTTCCGTTTATGTTTTCATAACAAAAACACTGATGTAATGCGAGAAAAGGCGATCCCGAAAAACCCGGAAGTAAATACGGCACATTTTAGGAACATTTGCAGAGGATGGAATTATGGATTTAGGTTAAGTTTATGTTTGGGTCACTCACTGCTGATGTTCAGGATTCTGTGTTCAGTTTTCATGCAGTTCCAGAGAGTTCTAGTTTGGAAGTTGATAGCCTAACTGTTGCTTGCATAGCCACGGGAAAGCCTTTGGGAACTTTGTCGGGGTCCGCTTCGCCCTGTCGGTACTTATTTTCCGATAATGACCTGCGTAATATACGTTATCCCTTACATATACGTTCTTCACAGAGATTTTCAGAATGTTCTGCTCTTGTCTTCGTGACAAAAATACCATTTCTCTGCGTCAAAAAGCGATTGTGAAAAACCCGGAAGTAGTTCCAGCCGCTCCGGAGCTAGCCACGCTCATTAAACACAAATGCCAATCAATCAACGCCATTAAATGTTAATCGGAGAATACATAATACAAATGCAGCTCGCGGAAATTCAATTTAGAAGACGTCAGCCAAAAGCTACCCCCTCCAGGCCGGCTCGCATCCCCAGCCTATCGCACAGCAAACGCCCCCTTCCAATCATCCGTGCCGGCCAGGCAGCCGCTTAAAAGCGGAAAAACTCCCACTTCACGGCCTCTCGAAGCCTTGCAAAGAATCGTTCTGGAGGAATCACCTTCGTCTACTCACGCTACTCGTGCGTGTCCCTGGTGTCCTCCATCTGGCTGCTTGTGGTCTGCTCCTCCTCCGCGTCCCTGCACCTGCTGTGGTTCGCATATCCCCACTGCTCTCCTCCTCTGTGGGCTCTTCTGCGGGCTGCTCCGCGGGGCCCCTCTGCAGGTTCTGTGCTGCTCGTTCCTCGTGGTCTGCTGCCGCGCGCAGACGGTCTGGCGGTGCCGTGCGTGTCCCTGCCTCCGTCGGCGTGCCGCGTTGTCCCGTTGCTTTTCCCAAGTCTCCTGGCATGTGTGTACAGTGAGTGTGCCGACCGCGGACAGATTAATCCCGGAGTCTGGGCTGCAGGTGGCTGGTTTTTTGCCCCGCGCACTGGACTGCAGGCGTCAGTTTCGCCCCGTGCTTGGTTGCAGGCTCCGTTTTACACGTGTTTGAGCTAACTGAGGGGCAATGCATCTTAAATGGCATCAATCTCCATCGTCTGAGGGATATAAGAGGAGCAATGTGCATTAATTCAGATTCATGTTCTGCCACTTGCAGTAAAACCACGTCGGAAAAATCTGTAAGACTACCCCATCGTGCTCCAGACGGCACACACCAGAGCTCTTGCCACGGCGCCATCTTTACAGCATTAATCTCATTACTCGCAGGTCACTATTGTTAAATGAATGTACTAAATTCGTCTATCTGCAGGAGGAAGGAGGGGCCATGCATTTAAATAGCTAGGTCACTAGTATTAAATTGGGTAACTAAACTGCAGTTGCATTGAAAGTGCAGCAGAAAGAAAAAGGGCCCAATGTGAATCTGCAATGGGTTTGAAGTGGAGTTGGAGCTAATGAACGCGTGGAAAAGTGATGGTTCATGCGTATCTGCCATAACCAAAGCAGCAAGATGGCTCCAGGGGACGTCTGTTATTCGCATGGGAATGTTTCGGATTCGGGTTGATTTATTTCCTCAGGCTGTTAAACAACCGTGGGCACGGTTCTCTGACCGCCGCTGCTGCGGTCCCTGCTGCCGTTCCTACTGATGCCTGATCTCGCTGCTGCCTGTTCCCGCTGCTGCCTGTTCCTGCTGCCGCTCCTGCCGCTGCCTGTTCCCGCTGCTGCCTGTTCCTGCTGCCTGTTCCTGCTGCCTGTTCCTGCTGCCGCTCCTGCCGCTGCCTGTTCCC